ACCAAAAATAAGTCTGTCTTGTTACCAAATGTCCTGCAATCTGTGTTCACAAGGCATTTACAATTTTTATTATTCATTTGTAATGAGTCCAGCAAGGCAATCCCACATTATTCTCTGCATTGTCTGCCCCAAATGTCAAGTTAGGCATTTCCCTAGAAATCCTTGCGGGTTTTCCTTTCAGAGGGGCGTGGTAGGGAAGCCTAGGACTGCTGCTTTTGTGCCTCTGTTTCTTATCTTGTTACTGTGTGTGTGTGTGTGTGTGTGTGTGTGTGTGTGTGCACGCACACATGCCTGCGTGTGTTCTACATAAATGTCCATGCCTGTATTCCCAGTACATAGCACATATGTTATAATTCAATGATAGGGATACCAGTATTATCATCAGTTTTGTGACTATGAAAAGTTTTAGGGCATTTCTTTTTTCTTTTGGATTTTTGGGCTCTATTCTTCTGGTTGTTGTCAATGAACTTAATATATTGAAAAACATGGTTAGGTTTACTTGTTTCACAGAATGTTTGATTTTTAGGAATTAATTTTCAACATAGACTTGTTTTTTTCAAAAGCTTTATTTAATATTTGCATTATTCCAAAATTCCGTCTACCTAAATAGTTGAAAGATGTCCACCATCTTTCTTTGCCATGCTACTTCTTCACCAGTACTCATTTCTTTCTTTACTTTCTACATCTGTAATATATTTATATATAGTACATAAAAATAATGAGGATGTGTACACACATGTGCTTGCACCCCTTCAGGTGAGGGGTCTCCCACTCTATGTTCTTTTATTAACCTCCTAGTTTTTGAAATTTTTAATTTTATTGTAAAGATGCTGTACAGAGGGGTTTCAGTTGCATGAGTAAGGTGATGAGTTCATTTCTTGTCAAAGATTGTTACCCCCTCCTTTGCTTTTCTCTTACAATCCTTTACCTCCCCCTTAACCTCATAGTTTTGATGCTTGTTAGAACCTGAGTAGTGACACATCTCCATGCATTTCACAGCTGCAGGATATATTAACTCATATTTTCTGAAATAGTCTGTCTGTACGTGGTGGCTAGGATTATATTGTAATTTTCTTTGAGCCTCTCTCCTTCAGTCCAGTTTTCTAAAAGAAATCCCCCTTTGTCACGTCCAATCCTGTTTTCCTAACATTTCGTTAGGATTTGGTGTTGAATTCAACTCTAATTTTCCTGTCTGATGCAGGTGCTGTGAATGCAGGGTTTCAGAATTACCTCTGCCTCATAGAAAGAGCTTGGACGTTTTCCTCTTTTTCCTGTGCTCTGGGATGTAGAGCATGACGGAATTCTCTGATCACTAAAGCTCGATAGGATTTTTCTGAGGAATGGTGAGAAACCACGAGAGCTCGCCGTCCACTCTGTGGTCTCGCCCTGTCCTCAGTCTGTCACTCCCCAGGTCTGCAGGGTTCGGCACTGAAGTGTGCATTCATGCGTGCCACATATACCTGATAGTGGAGAGTTCACAATGCCAATGCCTGTTGACTTTTAGCCTCTCCAGTGCAAGGTTATCTGCTCGAGTTTTGAGATGAGTGACCACCAAACTACTTTGAACCCATTGCCAAGGCCATCAACCCTCTTCTATAGTTTCTGAATGGTAGAGCATTTCCACAACAGGGACAGCCATTTTGTATTCCCTTTCTGTCTATAGCTTAAGAAAACAAAGCTCTTGTCTACAGCACACCTACAAATTTAAAGAGCTTCCTTCTCCCAGTAAGTGATGTCTTCTGTCCATGTTGAGCATTCCTATAGTGGGCTGGCTGTGTACATTCACCTCGGATACAGTCCTGCAATGAATGGTGTCAGCCTTCTACACAGATCCAGACTCTCAGGGCATTCTGATGAAGATGCTCTCGTGGGATAGGAAGCTCATTGCTTAGGACAGAATACGTCAGATATGATATCTGAAAAACAAAGTAGAATCTGTTCTGGAAAATAGATCTCACACAAAAGGAAAGCATAGGAAATACCAGATTTTAAATGGTAAATGGTACTTTTGTCATAGAAAATTAAGTAAGAATGCGGTAGAAAGCAGAAAAATTGGGGAAGATACAGGGCAGGGGATGGAAGTGAGAAAACTTCACTGGGTGGATGATTTGGTTGATTCAGAAGGGAAAGAAGCAAAGGACAGAAGGGCCAGGAGGGCTGGTTTCTAGTGATGTCTAAGCCACGTTCTTTCTACGTTTAAAGTACAGTCCAAGTGCCTGGGCTCCTGAGGCTGAATTCCAGTGGCAAGCATGGCCAAGTCTGAGGATCACTCTTTGCGGATCGTTCTGGTTGGGAAAACTGGAAATGGGAAAAGCGCCACAGCCAACACCATTCTTGGGGAACAAATCTTTGATTCTAGAACAGCTGCCCATGCTGTCACTGAGACCTGCCAGCAGGCATCCAGAACCTGGAAGGAGAGGGACCTCGTGGTGGTGGACACCCCGGGGCTCTTTGACAGCAAGGAGAATCTGCAGACCAACATCGTGGAATTCAGCCGGTGTGTCCTCTATTCCTGCCCAGGGCCTCACGCCATCATCCTGGTTCTGAGGCTGGGCCGATTCACAGAGGAAGAGCAGGAAACTGTTGCTTTGATCAAGGCTGTCTTTGGGGAGGCCGTCATGAAGCATTTGATTGTTTTGTTCACGTGCAAAGACTATCTTGAGGGCTGCAGCCTCGATCACTTCCTAAAAAGATCGGATGCAAACCTACAAAGCATCATTCAGGAGTGTGGGGGCCGCTATTGTGCCTTCAGCAACAGAGCAGAGAAGGCTGAGAAGGAAGAGCAGGTGCAGGAGCTGGTGGGGCTGATAGAGAAGATGCTGCAGAGCAGGGGAGGGGCTCACTTTTCTGATGCCATCTACATGGATGCAGAGCAAAGCCTGCAAGAAAAGGCAGAGCTCTTGAGGAAGCATTACACAGAGGAGTTAGAAAAGGAGCTCGGAGCAGCCAGGGAGACATACACTCAGATGTGCAAGAAGAGTATGCAGGAAAAGGAAGCCAAAATACAATCAATTAAGGAGAAGTACGAGGCAAAAATAAGAAACATCAGGGCAGAGGCAGAGACAAATATATTTACCCAGATTTGTGAGATAATTAAGAGAATGCTTTTCAAAATACGCCATTTTTTCAGGAGATAATGTGTATATCCACTTTATTCTGTCTGCACTTACCACGAGCCTTCTTTCACATCACCCCCTCTCTTCCCCGTGGCAGCCCCTCTGCAAGCAATGTGAGCAGGAACAGAATTAAGAAATCGCCAGATTGTCCTGTGCTGGCCTCAGAACCCATGGTGAGCTCTCCCAGTCTGACTTGTGTACTCTGCACTCAGCACCTAGAGAGGACAGCAGAGGCAACACCCTGCCTTTTTGAATCAAGTGCCTACCCCTGTTCTGAATTCCGTCCTTTCCAAGAATCCCAACAGGGACCTGGTAGGAATGTATTTTTCTAAAATGCCCTGATCTATGATTAGACGGATATGGTGGACACATAAAGAAGTAGTAATCCTAAGACATACATGCTGATGTCTGAGAGCCATGAACTTGCAAAGCAATGCCTGGGGTTTAGTTGGGCTTTTATTGTGAGTGAGCGAAAGTGTCACAATGAGTGTCTCCACCAGTGGGGACTGTGAGTGACAGCAATAACTTGACCAGAAGCTTGTTAAAATAAAGTAATCGTGTGCTGAATATGGATGCAGAGTCTCTGTTATTGTTTTATAAAACATGGTTTGGACGGGACCACGTTTGTAGAAATATCCCAAGAATGATTATATGGGGTGTATGTATCTATATCGATACTGATATCAATATGGATTTAATTTTAGACATATGAAAAAGCTCTTGGTACCAATGGAGATAATAATGCCACAATATTCTGTGATGCCTATAATAATTGTATTCATGACGAGAATGAAAATGATCTCTTCTCAAATGAAATCTAGATTTCCCCTAACTAGTTGTAAATTTCAGTGAGCAGTTGGTCTAAGTTAGAGGTTACAATAAAGGTCATTTGTGGGAATAAGTATCAAAGAGAACAAGGAGCGCTGTCTGCAACCCAATAAGATAAGAACTTGTTAGAAAACTTAGGATCCATCTAAACTTAGTGACAGAAACACTGGGATAGAGTTCAGCAACCCATTTCTTTTTCTTTTCTTTTTTGCTGTTGTTGATTGGTTGTTATTAAGAAACCCTCCTGTGAGTCTGATGGATATGCCATCTTGAAAACAACTGGCTAAAGTAATGTCCATTGGTCTTTCCCCTGTGATTGAGCTGATGGACAGGAAGATCTAAGGAGGGATAGAAAAATCACACTTCAAATTTCACAAGTGTCACGTAGAAGCAGTCACTGTAACACTCTCTCTTAAGTCAGACTTTAAAAAAACAAAAGATGCAATGAAGAAGGGTTTTGGACAATCAGGAAACAGCCTGTGTGAGTTTTCATGGCTGTGCAACTACTGGAGATAATCAACTTACATGGAGGAAAGGTTTGTTTTGGTTCCCAGCTTGAGAGGCCTTGCTCTCGGATGGCCTGACTCTGGCTTTGGGCCCGTGGCAGGCAGCGCAGTGCATCGTGATGGAAGCATGTGGTGAGGGAGGTCTGGTGAGCTCATGGTGGCCAGGAAGCAAAGAGGAAAACAGGAAGAGGCAAGAGTTCTAGCATCCCTGTCAAGGGCATGCCCCCAGTAACCTACCATCCGTCCACCAGCCCCCATATTCTAAAGGTTCTACCAATTCCCAGTAATGTCACCGATAAGAACCAAGCCATCTGCACAAAGGGTTTTGGGAGACGCTTACCCAAATGTCCCAAGTAGGAAGCAAAGAGCTTGAAAGCTGAGTTCCATCAGAAATAAACCTTCCCCTTTGAATTCCTTTTTCATGGAGACTGGGATGAATCTGCAAATTGCTTTGGGTACTGTGGACATTTTAACAATACTAATTCTGCCAATCCACGAACATGGGAGGTCTTTCTTGCATGTATGTGTGTGTATACAACTTTTATTCAGTGTTGTGTAATGTTCATTATAAAGATCTTTCACTTTCTTAAATTTATTGCTAGCTGTGTTCTGTAGCTCTGGGGAATGGACTTGCTTTCGTTTTAATGGATGGTCCCCAAACCCTGGATCTTGACTAGATGATACAGCCAAGCCCAAGACCTGTAGTGCTATGATTGCAGACTGCATTTCTTTTATAAGATGTTTCCTATTAAAATAAATAAGCTTTAGAGCACACTAGAGCAGCTTATAGCAGGCACCCAGCATTTCAATACTTGCCTATCTAGCTTGTTGTCTCTCTGCCTGACAACTACTCTGGCAGGAACCATTTACCCATGATAGTCTTGACACCCAAAGACTAGTGGGTAGCTAGTTCATGCCTTACCAGAGAGGAAGCTTAGCAGCTGGAGATCACACAGACAAGACGGTTCTCACACACCTCTGAGGACAGCGCTTGCTGCTGCAGCAGTTGGGGTTTGTGGTTTTGATCCACACATTGAACTAGGCAGTTATTTTTCACACTTCATAAAAACATGCCCAAAGCAACTTCCTCTCAAGACACAGTTCAACTCAAGAAGCATAAAAAGCAAAAATGAAAAGACCTTCAAGTTTACAGTGTGATGGAGAGGAAATAAATAGGGGTTGCTGATAAGGCCTTAGCAGAAACAGCAGAAAATGGAGAAAGCCCAGAGCCTCACCTACGAGCTCCCACCCACGGTTCTTCTCCAGCTCATGTTGACTACAAGTGCTTGTTTGCAACCACTAAAAGAATAGGAGGGGACTTGTACGGGGCTGTAATTAAAACAAACAAACAAACAGAAGGGCTGGGAAGGTGGCTCATTGGTAGAGTGCTTGCCTTGCATGCATGAGGCCCTGGGTTCTATTCCTCAGCACCACATAAGCAGAAAAAGCCAGAAGTGGCGCTGTGGCTCAAGTGGTAGAGTGCTAGCCTTGAGCTGAAGAGCTGAAGGGCAGTGCTCAGGCCCAAGAGTTCAAGCCGCCCCCAAAAGAGAAGTCTGCTCGTGTGACAGCACAGTGAAGGAGAAGGCTTTTTAATCTGTACCTTCCTTAGACCACAATTACCTAACACTGAGCACGATATACCCAAGCTCAACCCTGGAACAATAGTCCAGTCTAGAAAAGTATTTACCCCAGCTTTCTTTCTCCATGTTGATAACTGTATTTCCAGCCTTATTTCTAGACACTCTGACTTGC